CAGGAAAAATGTAAAGTCCAGTTTCTTTCTATACCGCTGAGTGACCGCATAAGTTTCGGTCAAATATTTAATACAGTAACGTAGATATAAAACTGAAAACACAACTTTGGTTTATTAAATGACACATATGCTTTTGAAGCGTCATACGATATTTCTCAATGGGTAAGGTACATCAACATCAAAAACATTAACATAGGACTCAGTATTTAATAAATGCTTCGTTTTTGTTTGCTGGTCTGTTCGATATTGAAAGAATCTGAGAGTATTATTCCACGCTAAATCTGATCAGTGTTACATAAGGAAAACCGGAAAGTAGTCCAGTCAAATTGTGGTTTAGCATCAAACAAATTGCAACAAAATTTTTTTCAACGCCAGTTAATTGTTGGATGGCTGTTTAGCAACATACTAAAAATCCGCCAAAATCGGTTTGGTGAAACATGAGAAAAATTGGCAATAAAGATTTTTAACTTTCACCACAGGACACCCAGTTTCAGGAAGATCACAAATTCACACAAAGCATCTGATAATTGTGTTTTTTTTTTTCTCAAGAATTTTCGATACAACATCGCTAATGTATTTTGGGTAGCTTTTTTTTTAAAAACGCCGACTAAATGTGTGAGAAATACCTGGGTCAGTGTTTCGTTTGACGGCTTTGCACAGGTTACCCAGCCACTCGTCTGTTGTCGCATTCTGTTTTCCAAGCTTTAATTTTTTTTTTCTTTGACGGTATTTAAAGGGAAAATTATCAATCAGACTGTGTTAACATGGTTAAAAATATTAGTAATTGTTTTTTTGCGCGATATCAGAAATTCAGTAAGTATTTAATTGGCTGTTTTACAGGCTGGTATTTTTTTTATATCCTGCAACATGGGTGCAGATTTAGTAACTGACCGATGGTGAACAGTGTGATTTGATATTTTGTTTACAATCAGTCAGCTGCCAAATTTGCATCCATGCTGAAGGATATATGCTGCTAAATGTGTGCAACGGACGATAGCTTTGTATCAGTACAAACTGTTTAACCTGTTCCCATTTTGTGTAATCGAGTTTTGTGAGGTAGTTATCTTCGAACCTTGGACACAATATGTGTGATCGAAATCAGGGATTCTTTTTTTCTCGCGACATACGCAACCTCCTTTAGGATTATGACTCCCTACTTTACAATGTGAGTGAATAAATATTCTGCTGAGGACTCCGTCTATTTGGTTTTTGCTAGCTCGTAACGCTCTGCGCTTTTCATTACACCTGGCCAAATCAGTTGTAAGGAAAATCCAGAAAACTAAGCGCAGTGTGATTGTTCATTTTTTTATCTTCCTGAAGCGACTCTCAAAATTAAGTTTAGTGTCTTTGTGTGTTCATTTTGTATTTTTTGCGGCAGCCCTTCATTTCTTCGTAAGATGAATAAGTAGATTAATCGCCCTGTAGTCTAAAGGCGTTTATATTCCCTCCTTGCATTTCTTTTGTGAGAATAACCCTGAACCTTGACCAGTTTGTTTTCGTCCATTGGCAAATGAAGACCTCTTTTTCTATAACGATCGTGTGGTCCTGTACGTCTGAAAAAAATTTGCAGTGGTCAATGAAGGCCCGAAAGTACTTCACATATGTGCGACATTAATGGGCTTGCCTGCTAGCTTCTGATGGCTTATGTCTTTTTGCGGAACCAATGTTTCTCTTCGGATGACCGTTGTGTAACACTTCAATTTACTGCATGTTAACCTTCTGACTGAGTTGCGTGAATTATGTTCTGCGTGGGGAATTTCCATTACTCTATATACCCTTACAAGATATTTTTACGTTCGCATTGTTTTTGCTACCCGGAGTTAATCTTTCCCTTGAAAACCAGCTTCCCTATTATATAATTTATTTCGTTTTCTTGAAACAAACGTTTGCTGGAACAAAGTTCTTACGCGATGAATGTTCCGTTAACCTTTATAATTTTTTTTGCGAAGGTAATAACACTTTTCCTTAAATGAAAACACATTTCCCTCTTATCAAATTCATAGGCATTGGAGCTTAACCTGCTCAACAACTCTGTATTGTTGCTGTTGTTGTGCATCGTAAAGAATTAGTAAAACTATCCTCCCCTCCTCTCCAATTCACTTTTAACAAGAAGAAAATGAAAAGTTTCAAAAAAGTGAAACTTGTATATTTGAGGATGTTGGTACGTTAAGGAAAATTAATGTACAGGTAACCGTAAAAGCTAAAGCATTATCTTGCTGGATTTTTGAAAACGTACCGAACGAATATCGCAGTCTTTTAACTGAGAAAAAGACCAAAAGCCGAAGGCAAAATGAGCCCGAGAATCCTCCTAAAAAAGAACAGGGAAAGGGAAAATAGAGTGAGCGAAGAGAAAGAAAGGAAGACAAGAAAAAAAAGCAATGGCGGCACTATTAGTTTTTACCAGAAATGTATTTTTTTTTAGTTCCTATCCTTTTGCATTACAGTAAACTGTAATTTCTTATAGGCATGCAAATAAAGTTTTGTTGTTGTTGTTGTTGGTAAGCTTGAGTTACATGTTCGTAGACAAGAAAACTGTGCTCAACATGCCAGTTTGGCTTAATCTTGCGTTAAACTTGACCATCTTTCGAGGAACCGGACCCAGGTTTTAATCTCGTTACTGTGAGAAGAGCCAACAAATTGATGTTGCCTGCAATCAGCAAGAACAACAACTGATTGCTTTATTTGAATGACCCTAAACTTTACTTATTTTTGCAAAAGCGTGCCAAAACACTAAGATCATGATTAACAACTACATTAACAATAGTTTATCCCGAAAATTAAACTGACAAGATGATATGAATTCAATGATTTCTTTGTTAATAAGCTCGGTAATAAGGAACGAAGCAGCTTTCATAATTTTCATGATCAATTCGTTAACGGATAGTTGCTTAATACACTCTTTTTTTTATATAAGAATATATTTTATAAGAATATCGAGGCTGAAATTTGCGAAATATTAAGAATATTTTAAGAATAAAGCTAAAGCTGAGATTTTGAAAAGGATAGATATAATTTTGTGTGTTGAAACATCTGTAAATACAATACAATTTTATGTTTTTCACTTAACCGTATAAAATTATTCCTTTCTCTGAACGGCGAAACTAGCCAACAAAACGAAAAAACCTGCACTAGCTATAGCAAAATGTTCGACTCTAATGACAGTTCGATGAACGGTACATGTAATATATATACATATACCCCAATAAATTCTGAAACGGAAATGTCATAACGTATAATTTAAGAATAATACAAGAATATTTTCAGCCTAAAATCGGCAGAAAAATAAGAATATTCAGCCTGGGCCGGAAAAACAACATTCTTATAAAAAAAAGAGTGTATTTGGAATTAGAGACTGTACCTTAATTTAAAAGTTCTCTCTCATTTTTTGAGTATTTGTAGCAGTAAGAAATAAGAAAAGGAATTACGTCTTTGATTGATTACATCACAAGAAGGGCAATGTCTGTCGACACTATTTATTTGACTGTATTTGCCAATCTCCATCATGAGCTTGTGACGGATTGCATAAAAGTAATTTGACCAAGCCTCTCAGGTGTTTTCTTGTAAGGGGCGAGATATTTTAAAGTGGCTTATTCATCTTAAAAAGAAAAATTGTATATAACTCTAGTTTTTGCGAGTTTTGAAGAGAATGTTGCCAACTGAAATATGGTTCTATTTCATAAAGCTACGATGTTTTATTTACTTTAGTGGTATCTCATGTATTGGGATCAAAGTTTGGTAGGTTAAAAAATTCGGACCTCATCTTTATGAGGTGAGAGTAAAAGCGAAGTTTACCCACGGGGTGTGGAAGGTTCTTGACTCATTCATTCATGAGCTTAAGCAACAACGATGGCGACGGCTACGAAAACGTCACTTAAAAAGTGAATTTGCGCTGCGTCAAACTTTATTGCGCTTATTCCATCTCGTTTAATTCGTCAAATGTTGGCAAATTTCTTTGGAGTTGAATTCTAAAGGATTGTATCAAAGTTTAGGAAAGGAAAAGCAAAATTGTTGTTTTGTGTTCCAGTCCTCGACAAAACGTGAAATTAGGCACTTTCACATTGTGGTCGTGCAACGACGGCTGAGAAATGTACAAAAAAGCGTGATGCAAGTGCAAAGTTGTTTTTTTGCCAGTCTAAACCCATTGTTTTTTTGCCGTTCTCGTTGCCGTCGCCGTCGTCGTTGCTTAAAGTTTCTTTGCAGGTTTACAGCTGAAGTCACATCGGCCATGTTGGTCAACAAAACAGAATTTCTTTGCAGTCTTGGAAATAAACTATATTTTTTCATGCAAATTCTGCGAACAACTAACCATGTCAAGTGGTTGCGGACCAAGAGTGCCAAGTGCGAGGGACGTCTCATTCTCGTGGAAATGTTAGGTTAGCCACGCGAATGACACTCTCTCAAATCCCGAGCGCCCTTAAACTGCTTTCTTCTACCTTGATAGCTGAGTTTTACTCCAGCCTTAAAGTGTTAGAACAGTGTATTCTAGCAGCGCCAGGTAGTTTTTTTCAACAATTGTTTTGTGCTGAGCACCCTAGATGCTATACGTTAACTCTTTGGGTTCCCTTCAGCCTTTTGGGCTTAGGGTATGCTGTCTTGAGTTTTAAAAAATAGACTGCGGGATTATGATTTGCAATGTCAGCTAGGAAACAATTTTTTTGCTTCACAGTCTGATCCCTGGGCGTTCGTTGGACTTTGATACGCTAAGAAAAAGAACGATTTTTTTCAAATGCGTGTCTGGTATTACTTGATCGATAACCTCCCAATTTACAAATGGTATTAACGACAATAAATTCACCCAACGAAGCAAACTATGTTCGGACTCGTTTCTTTAATTGCAAACACGCAGAAATGTTAGTAATTGGCTGCCACAAAGAAATCAAGCTTTTATTTATCTAGTTAAGTTTGTTTTTTAATTTCTACCGTAGTGCTCCTTTAATCCATTAGCAGCCTTGCGAAATTTAGAACAATGAAAAAGAATGGAACGACAAAAAGCTTCTCCTTCAGGCCTGTGGAGGAGACACTTCTTCCACGTAGATCCGGGACACTGAATGAAAGCCTGTGGCCGCGTCTCCACCCGTGTAGCCAGTACCTACACACTTACCGACCCAGAATCCCACCCGAACAGGGCCCTTGCGTAGTTTCTCACAGATTCCTTCGATGTGACGTGGGCGATGTGGATTCCCTACAAAATTTTTATCATTCCACACAATAAATATACCATCAATGGCGGACGGGGTTGAGCACTCTGCACCATTGAAGGTGAAATACCACCGACTGCAACACCTATAGCAGTTATAGACGCGGAAATCGCCATTCCAGAAGACACGCAAGGCTGTTTTGTCGGATTTTTTGTTGAAAATACATTCCTGTGGAGAAATTGAAAGCCGCCATTTCATTGCCTTATCATGATTTGCAGCGTTTTGCTTGTAAGTATAATTTTTTCGAGGATCCTCGTTTTTACACGACGTTATGGCGGCCACGTTGTTGTTCCAGGCCAATCTTGTGGAATTTGTAAACACTTCCCGCAAAGTAGGTGGAAAAGCTCTATACTGATTTTTATTAGCAATCTGGCGCAAATAAACAAACAGTGGTAAGGAAAAAAATGCGCATTACAACTTGTCAAAAATAATCTTTAATTAAAGTTTTAAATTAATAATTAAAGTCTGGGTCAAGATAGTAAGACATAATATGAAGCACAGGCGGATTAATAAAACGCATTTGAAAATTCTTAACTCGGCTTAAGGTAGAAAAAGGCCGGCTGCCCAAGATACATAAGTCGTAATGTATTGTAAAAATGATGGGTACGATCTTGAGCAGCCTTTTAATTAGTAAGCTGTCCGTTTAGTTTACTTTCCTCTTCCTCAAGTTAATTATGTGTAGTAAATGAGTTATGAAACACAATTCTGCTAGACCTAGGAGGCTCTATCTGAAGACAAAAAGCATGACATTCAGAACTATAATTCAGTTGATTGTTTACCTTGATCAAACCAGTGTCTTGGCCGTTATCTAAATTCTTAAAAACGCACTGTTTCCAGTTACTTTGCAAGGCACCCGTAGAACCAGGATTTTCCTGGGGACATTGGATACCACGAGCACCTTGTTCACCTTTGCTTCCTGGTAGACCCGTCGAACCCGAGGGTCCTGTATCTCCTTTAGGTCCCTGCTTTCCACGAGATCCTTCATCACCTTTGTTACCTCTTGGGCCCGTAGGTCCTTCAGGTCCATGATTTCCGGGAGATCCCGCGGGTCCAGGACTTCCCGGGATGCCTGGAATTCCTGGTGAGCAGAAGCAAGTACTCTGACCACATGACCCAAATGACGTCTGTTGTGCACACTATTATTAAGGAGTATAAACACATCAGTTGGTCAATAAATCAGTAGACAAACTGCCTTGAGACGGTAACGCAAAAAAAAAAATGGCCTGATAATATCTTTTGATTTTTTTTCTTTCCTGTTGTCGCCGTCACTTTTATCGTCGACGTGTTAAAGTTTGGAAATAGGATTAGAAATAACAATGGGGTTGTTGCCTTCAGAGAGAGGATATTTTATATGTCCTCAGGTGAGGTTGACACACAAGGAACCGAGGATGACCAAGGACGAGATGGAGTGAAGCCTTTGATAGTTTCCTAAGACACTGGCACCGCGACGCTCAAAACGTGGTCCAGTGGAGGTCACTGGGGAAGGCCTACGTCCAACGCCGGACGTTCAACGGCTGAAACTGAAACTGAGGGGTCGGAAAATTCACTTTTAATTAATGATGAGCAAAGTTTCTTGAGCTTTACAGCTTGCTTCACAAGCCGGAAAACTGGACTCCTTCCGACTCGATTTCTTTTCCGTAAGTGACGAACGCGGATCCGTGATCAATGATTACCTCTAGTTGTTATAGTTAATTCTCTGACTGGCGGACATTATGTCGTGGTTTCGTGAGGCCCCGATATAGAGGAACTCATTTATGTGGCCAGTTATTGGATTCGCTACTGACCAAACATATCCCTTAACAGAGGAATACAGTAAACTGCTGGTTGTAATTATAAGCCCCCTCAGTCATGGGCCCATCTAGCTGTAAACAAAGAAATACTTCCGATTATAAGCCCCCGGATGTAAGCCGTCCTCTAGTGTGAAGTAGCTTGTTTCGAGGCCATTTTTCTAGTCCGGCCGGTTATAATATACATAAGATAGATATAAGCCCCTCCGTTTATTATCCCTCCTAAAACCCCTGACGAAGATCTATAAGCCCAGAGCTTATAAGCGGCAGTTTACGGTAATAAGGAAGCCTGTTCTGTAGATTTGATGGTTCTGTCATAGCAATGGACCAGAATTTCACAAATAGAAATTCCAAAATTTTGTATTAATTAATTTTAAAAATACCTTTTTCCCAGGGGTTTTGTTGCTGCTGCTGTTGCTTTTCGTGGAACTCAAAGTAATTAATAGTGCATAAATCGCGATGTACAGTAGTATTTTCATACTGCTCTCTTTGGCTTCGTTATACCTCGGGATCTAGAAAAACGATAGCATGTTACAGGTGTTAGTCACTGAGTGACACAATATCGTAATGCAAGGTATTTGTTTCTATACACAGAAATATAAAAACGTTTTATTCATTCAAATATTAAAAAAATAAATTAAACAAATATTTCAATTCGTTATAATTCTTTACTTATTAAAGAAATGTTATAACATTTACAATGATGTTCGTATTGTGGCATACAATTTCAAACTATGAAAAAGCTATGCATTCTAAATAGTCTATCTCTTCGCGATTGCTCGCCGGGCGATTTTCTGCAAGCTTTATCGGAGCTTTACAAAGTTTTGTGCAGCAAATATCGACGCTTCTCGCCTTTCTTTTCGCTCCTGTTAGTGGACCTACTTGCGTCATTTTAGCTGAGTTTTTTTTTTATTCTTTGAGACAAACGTATTTAAATGTAATGATCTTAACTGTATTTTATCACGTATTGCAGACTTTCTATGACTCAAGTACTAACGTTGTCTGTAATTTATCTTGACTATTTATAATGGAATGGGAAATAAATAAATAAATAAAATAAAATAAATGAGTTTTTCAGTTTTTTCCCAAGTTTAATCAAGACCGATCTAGAATTCACGCTATGGGAAAAAAAATTGGAAACAAATTACGAATTTAGTACTAACCTTTCAGTTTTAGTGTTGCTGCAGTCTGATTCCAGGAGCTGAGATTAGAATGAATATCTCTGCTCCACCAAAGAGCTATTTATCCGTACTGAATCAACATTACACTTTCATGTTTAAAACACGTTTGAAAAGAGGTTACGTGTGCAGTAAATACGGATGTCATGGATTTTGACATCCACCAATAATATGGTTGCGCAGTATCAAGAAAAGGCTTGTTCGAGGCTAATACATGACATGATGAAATAACAAGTTTAACTTTCTGATGATTGATTAGAACGTGTCTCAGTCGACCAATGAATTGTCAGTTGTTTCCTTTGTCGTATTTCATGTACTTTTTCAAAGACAGAAGGCGAGAAATGTTCACACAGGTAAACCTCGTATGTATGGAATTTGAAAGAGTTTCCATGCCATTTTAGAGGCTCTTATTAATCAATCTCTTTGCTTTCTTGCTTTTCTGTTCGCTGCTTTTTTACACTGAAAAATTATAATAGCCCCATATCAACGAGGGCACACCATAGCTTGTCAGTATAAAGACGTATTTTACAAGTGACAACTAAAAAGCCTGATAATTTTTCTCTCCAATTTTTCTGGGTATTTCGAGGCATAATATCTACAAGGGATATAAAGGAATCCTAAAACTAAAATTTGAATGAGTTAAATGGGTGTTTTCACTACGTGTATCTTTTACAAGCATTAACAGCAGCAGGACTTTTAGCTTGCTTTTATTGCCAAAAGGTGTCATTTTCAAAGCTTGCGTGGGGGGATTTTCACTCCGACTTATTTACTTCGCACCCTCGGCTATCCATGAGAAAAAAAATACAGTGCGATTTCCAGGAGAAAAAAATTACCTTTTTTATCCAGCCAGAACCGGCATAAATTTTCCACATTTTCAGCTAGCGGGGCGCTCATTTAGATTTTACTTCCCAGGTAGCTCAAATTCTGCCAGAAGAGAGGATATTTTGTCGAGCGGCTACGTTGGGTACTCCTTCTAATTTCACGTTTAGTATGGAGAACGTAAACAAGCAACGAAGAAATTTTCTGTTTCTGAGTTTTTTTTATGTGCCTTGGAATTCAACTTCAGGAGGGTTCGCATACATATTTGAAAAAAGTAAGTGCGTAGGAATAATTACGATAAAGCTGAATTAGAACTTATTAAACTTCGCTTCGTTCTCGTTGCAATCGCGTCGTTGGATCTTAAAAGTCCATAGTTATAAAACTTTCCGAACACGTAAGCTTTTCATCAGGGGCACCCAACGAGAATTTAGTTCAAAACCACTTAAACATAGCATTGTTGAACGTATTTTAGTATTTAAACGGTAGGTCGAGGCATATTTTCATCCCCTAAAAATTTTTCATCTGTTCGGATTTCCAAACTGAAAGTCTAATGATCCGAAAATTATAGGGATCAAAACTTACCTTTTCGAAAATTTCAGCCAGGAAAAAGGCGCTCGAAAATTCTCGGTGACCTTTTTGGGTAAAAATCCGTTAAAAATGGGCTATACCATTTTGGGGGAGTTCGAAAATCCTAGTAGAGGCAGGCAGGCACGCAAGAAATTTAACAACAAATGTTCCGAAAATTCTAGATCTCAAATCGTCTTCCGAACAGATATTTTCCAAAAATCGTCGTTGGGTGCCCCTGTTTTCGTTTCGCTCTAAACCATCGCAAAATTTGATGACGTCGAAAGCCGGTTTACTGAAAAAAAAAGGCACGTTTTGCTATAATTCGTCCACAGAAACTTCCCATAGCAAAAATGGCTTTTCGTCTTGTAGCAAAATTCGTTTCCAAGTTGTAATATTTTGGATAAGTGATTAAGATTTTCATAAAGAAACTTCAATGAGCTACTCACCTTCTAAGTATTTTACCCAGCACAGGCACTGTGTGTTGGCTAGAGACAAACAACAAGTAAAATCGAAAAGTAAGAAGACATTTAAGATAGGAGCTTAAATTAAAGAGAATGAGCAAAGAATCCTAAATCATTGCGAACCTAAATCTTCGGTCTCGTCGATCCTTGTTTGCGTAAACTTTTGCTGATGACAAACTCCAAATGTTAATTATAGCTCTGTTGGCGTTCTCGTCTTAACAAGTTTCACTACTCCATGGTTGATCGATCAGTTCAACTCAGAAAGATCCGTCTTTTATGTCGTCGATCATTGCTCCATTGTTTATCATGAATAATAAAAGATTACTCAGTTTTAGGAATAGAAAAAAAATCTTGAATTTCTGAGAAAAAGGGCACTCTACAGTTACATAAAACCTAATTGATATAATGTCAGATCAAGCAACCTGCTAATTTGTTGCGTGAGAATAAAGAGTTTGACTGGCTGAACACAAGAGCTGTCTGAAGTTAGGATTTCTACAGATGGCCCCAGATGTCTAAAGAAACAATGACCGGTCTGTCGATGGCGAAAACTACTTTTAACAGGCTATAATTCGCAGAAGTTTATACAATTATAAGAACAACACAATGTCGTAGAGGTTTAGGCAACCTCAAAGCGGAGCTCTCATCCGAGAACAAGTATTAAAAATTATTAAAACACAGTTTGGAAGAGTGAGAGTCACGCAAACTGTTGTTTATGAGGAATAAAAATAAGCCTATAAGCTAACACGATGGAAGATAGACAAGATACCACGTCTTTTTCAACCGAGTATCTATTAAGTGAATTTTAAACCTAATAATGTTATCGGGTGTAATGAGCTCTAACAGATAGGCTATACTTTCTTTCAATCAAGAACAATCAGTATCGCTCTAATTTTCAGATAAAATAGCTGCGTGACAAAAATTGATCAGTATGTTGTAATAGAACTAGAAACCGTGAGAAAAAAAATTGAAATGACATCGTTCAATTTGCTACTCTTGCTGAACGCGCTGCAAAAACGTTAAATTAAATTTTAGTAAGTAAATTTTAGTAAAGCGGGACACATCATTTAGTCCTGCTATGGCAGTTAGCCTATTAAGAGGGCATATAACACAGAAAAAAAATTGCTATTCTACTTCATCGCAATTCCAATAGTGAATTTTGGGAACACTTCTCGTCACAGTAGTGATCTCTTCAGTTTCATTGCAATGGTACATGAGGCAATCTATTGTTAGTGACAAAAATATACCGGTAAATAGCTAATGTTAGATTGACTTAGTTGTAATAATGAACATCTCGTTCCTTAAAAGCGAGTATTTTGATTCGTGA